TCTACAATGAGGCTCGTTATGTTGCGATAATCGCTGACGATCAAAAAGTGATGCTTTAACAACCAAATGATTTGTCCTGAATCCACCGACACATGCCTCCTAGATGCGCCTCAACTTATCACAATCAAACAAATAAGATGCAAATGAAATATCATTGTCGACAATTGTGGGTTGATTTCAGATAGTTGTTTTCTCTTTTCACAATATCACACTCACTCACTCACACACACACACACAGAGTCTCTCTCTCTCTCTCTGATTGCGAAGTACTTTAAAGCACACTAGATCATTCTTCAGAGAAAGAGAGAGAGAGAGAGTAAACAACGCGTGAGTATTCCAACAACAAAATGAAGAAGAAGAAAAGAATTCCACCTGTAACCTTCATGATAACAAAGAGATAATTCCTTCAAGGACGCAAGTATAATGCAGACTAAGCTTCATTTGTCACCAAACATACGATGATGGTGTGATGGTCTGATTATTTTTCACTTTTTTCATTGTGAAGATAAGCCGGTTTCTATAAGACACTGTTGGCAAAGGAACTAAATAATAATTAGAGTGATAATAATAATAATAATAATAATAATAACTAAGTAATTACTTAATTAATTATACTATTATTAGTAGTAGTGACCTCGTAGATATGTTTTGCTTTTACTTTTGTTGAGTGCACTTGTCACTGATATTTCTGCAGGATTATATTGTAAAATATATCTGAACGAAAGAAAAGTTAAATCTTACGGAAGATATCTTCACGAGATCCACTCGGTAAGTTCCAAATGTTTTAGTAGATGGTCCTTGTGGATAGTGTTCAGCAACACAGATCGATAGACGTTTTTCATTACGTCCACTGTAATAACATTCACAAAGGCTTGCAAACTGGTACACACACTTTAATGTGTCAAGCATCGATAAATTCTCCTTCTATGTCTTTCCCACTGTCACCTTGTTGTGTCTATAAATCACATGATAGAGGCATGGAAATAACCACTTTTCGCGTACATATCCCTGAAATGTTTTCATTCATACTCCAGTTTGCTACTTTCCATTACGATGAAGTGAAGTTTTTTAAAGTGTGAGAGAGCTAGCTTCCACGTTGACTTTCTGTTTGTAGATCTATCGACTATGCTGTCAGCTCGACAAACAAATTAACCGCACCAAGTAATACATCGTGTAATTACGTCCATGTACTGGTGTGAATTTTATGCTCACATGGGATGGTTTATATTCTCTTATCATTATGTCACTTTTAACCTCATTTTCATGTACCACGAATATGTCTTTAATGTACACTGTAGGTGCATTTCAGCTTCACCTATACAGTCATTCAAGGATGTATGTTCCATCCTAGTCGAAAATGCATCTGCAGACAGAACATTAAGTCGCATTCTCATCACTACTCCATCTGTTTGCAAATATCACCCATTATTGAATATGAATTGTAACTCTTAAGGACACATGTTCCATAATTTTCTCATGCGACATATGTCTACTGGACATTCACTTGCTATGTCACAGATAAACTCAATCGTTACAATGGCGGGTAGGTTAGTAAATAGTCACATAGCATTGGACGGCACTAAATGTTTACCATATCCAATGAAGTCAGCAATTTTGTGAGTAAGAATTGAAAAGCATTTGTTTTCTTGGACTGCATGAGAATTCCTTACTTACAAGATCCAACATTCTACATAGGCTGTGTGTTTATTTACACCACAAGACCTGATTTTCATAATTAGAAGCCAAGCCCATCAACAACGTACTTACTCGGTATGATGAGAGGAACAACCAAATGATATTTACATGAGCTTAATATGACTAACCATCACTAATGTTTGATTAGAGTGGCTTCTGAATACTCGTGTCGTGGCATTGCTCTACTGATGAGATTTCGCAGGTGATATGTTGTATGCGATTTTTTCAGCAACAGTGCACTGAATAGTAGGGCAACAGATTACGTCGCAAAGAATACAGGTGAAAATCTGCCTGTATGGGAAAATATAAATATAAGGCGTGGAAAAAAGATAAACGCAGCACAAAATGAAGAGTGTGTGCAAATGATGATTGCATTATTCCGGGCAGAATAATCATACTGAAGTATTCTCATCAGAAAAGTGTCTAAAATTTTAGCTCTGAAAATATCTGATTTGATATAATTAAAAAATTAAATGTTTATTACGAATAGCACCAAATGCTCAACCAGCTAAACAGATTCTCTTAGGACTTTTGTCTTCATACAAATGTATGTATAAAATATAAAGAAATGCTAAGAAATGGATCAGCCGCGTATTAACAGAGACGTTACACAGTCTCCACCAAAAGGATCTGCATAGTTTCAAGAGAGGCATGAAAGGATAACTCAGTCATTCCATATTGGTTTGTTTATTAGGCATATCACACACTGAGACAGTAATACTTACTGGATGACGTTTCGAAGACGGTTTATTACTGCTTGTAATCATTTCAATTATAATTTTTATATTATTTTTTATTTTTTGATTACAGCTTGATTCCACACTGTACTTTTGGTACAAGTATGGAATTTTCAGCATGGATATCGGTAGCCCAAATTTCGCAGGCCGACCATAGATATCATGTGCTCGTCGGCAGGGGATTGAACCTCGGACCATGTGCATGGTCGGCGAGAGTCCTAGCCAATGTGCCACAGATTCACACGACTTGGAAACTTCCACTTCATGGTTTTCTTCGTTCTCTTACATTTGTCGTAGAAGTAGTAGAATTTTCCGGATGTCAAACAGAATAGGTGTCGAATGATTCCTGTTGCACGTGTTTGTAGTTGATTCGACAGACTAAGCTTCTGTTATCAACCTCCTCCGCCACCCTGTTACATTCGATTTAAAAACTGTCATTCTATCATGTGGTGGTGTGTAGTCGCATGTAGTGACATATTCAACCGAACTATTCCCCAGATTTCTTATCTTATTCAGGTCAAATAGTCTAGATTTTGCTAGGTTTTTATGAGCCGCTAGTCTGACTGCATCTGCCCTACTACTTTGACCTATGTATGTGATGTGATTGCAGCAGGGTATTAGATAAATTTAATTGTTTGGTTTAAATGGCTGTTCCATAGGATCCTTTAACCGGCAAACCTTGTTTCTAATTGAGTTGGTGGGTTTGAGTGCCAGCCACTTTCATTCCTGCATTGTTAACAATTCTCCATAAGATTTTCGAGGTTCCTTCTTTGTATGGAAGTGCTGCCGATAGTTTAAGGTCCCCATATTTCATTTTGTTATCCTGTGCTTGTTTAGCATGCATATCGTTATTAACATTATTATTATCAATATCACTACTGTTGTTATTTATTACTTTTTTACACTTTCCTACATATTTCCAGATTAATTTGTCGAGGTAGTTATTGAGCGAGTTTCAGAACTTCTCTTACATGTCACACTTCTTGTTTTAGATTTTCCAAATATCTATTGAATTGAATTCTTGATTTTCCCGTCGATTGATTGGACCGAAGTGCTCGGTCTCAGGTTGACATATCGGCTTTTTTTGCAGATGCTTCGACGATGTCTGGGCATTTAGTTAGTATGCAATTGGTGGATGTTCCCTAGCAGTGGAATCCAGGATGCGCATTTCGTCCTTTTTGGACTCGTCAGCTGGATGTACCTGCATTTCTCAGTGAGTGATGATGTTCCCACTGAGGCTCGAACCCAGTACCCATAGTTTCAAACGCCAAAGAGTTATCCACTAGACCACTTGGGCCACGAGAGCCACCTCTTGTGCGACGGGTCATATTAATCATTGAATTGAATAACATATTTTCACAACGTGTCCGAAAACATTTGTGTCAGAAGAGGATGGAATATTTGTGGAGGGTGATCACCAAGGAATTTGTGGATGGGTGACACTGACGTAACACCACTATTTTCCTTAAAAATATTAAGTGTATTCTGGTTGTCAGAATTACCACCATTTATGAAAGCAAATTCAATAAACCTTTTTCTAATCATGATCATGCATTGAGAATGAGTCTAAAAGTGGCTAGATGAAATCAGTTTGATTATCGTTCCATCAGTTACATGATAACCCATGGTCAATACCCGAGTCTTCTTTGTTGGATCGCCTCTGGAATAAAGAAAAACCTGATCAAGTCGTCATCTTCTAAAATGACTGGAATTGGCACTCGTGATATAGTCGATGATGAACTGAAGAGACTAGACGAATCCTTCATTTCAAATGGATATATTGCAAACACTCATGATAATAGATCTGTATTCACTACCGAATCGTTCGAAAGGAATTCTGAAAAGTTGATGAGATTCTGAAGAACCATCTATTCAGATCCGTAGAAAGGCATTCTTTCCACCTGAGGTACAAATCAATATCTGCGGTCGCAAAATGACTAGTGGAAATATGAACGGGGAATTGTTGGTCGGTTGCACTCCATTTTGTGTCATTTTATGCACCTTCTACAATGAGGCTCGTTATGTTGCGATAATCGCTGACGATCAAAAAGTGATGCTTTAACAACCAAATGATTTGTCCTGAATCCACCGACACATGCCTCCTAGATGCGCCTCAACTTATCACAATCAAACAAATAAGATGCAAATGAAATATCATTGTCGACAATTGTGGGTTGATTTCAGATAGTTGTTTTCTCTTTTCACAATATCACACTCACTCACACACACACACACACACAGAGAGTCTCTCTCTCTCTCTGATTGCGAAGTACTTTAAAGCACACTAGATCATTCTTCAGAGAAAGAGAGAGAGAGAGAGAGTAAACAACGCGTGAGTATTCCAACAACAAAATGAAGAAGAAGAAAAGAATTCCACCTGTAACCTTCATGATAACAAAGAGATAATTCCTTCAAGGACGCAAGTATAATGCAGACTAAGCTTCATTTGTCACCAAACATACGATGATGGTGTGATGGTCTGATTATTTTTCACTTTTTTCATTGTGAAGATAAGCCGGTTTCTATAAGACACTGTTGGCAAAGGAACTAAATAATAATTAGAGTGATAATAATAATAATAATAATAATAACTAAGTAATTACTTAATTAATTATACTATTATTAGTAGTAGTGACCTCGTAGATATGTTTTGCTTTTACTTTTGTTGAGTGCACTTGTCACTGATATTTCTGCAGGATTGTATTGTCATATAAATCTGAGATAAACAAAGTGCAACGGCTGATAGAGTCTACTTCAGAGATTATTAATTAGCACTAAATATTTCTAGATCCTTTTCCTGATGAGAATGTCGCCTACGCGTTTTTACATCTTTCAGTTTTGTGCAATATCTCATCATTCATATCACCTGTATTTCTCGCTCAATACTCTATATCCCATTTTTAATTGGTCGGCCTTTAATATATAAACTGTAGTTCCGTTTGTCTTCACAACGAAGAGTAGTCAGGAAGATAGATCTGTCGTCCTAGTGAAGCAAGGTACGTTGCTCATATTTTTCTGTGTGTATGTGTGGGTCTGTCTTATCTTTATGCTGCACTCAGTTTTTTCATAAACCTCCCGGTAGGTATCCAGTCTCAGTCACAATTTTATTTCAACACGTTGAAATTCTCTTCACGTACATTCTTATAACACATCTTATGATGTTCCACTATTAAGACTAGTCAAATCAATATTGAAATGATAGTTTAGCTCGACTGATCACTGATGAATACTTATTCATATGGTGTCTGGCGCTTGGCGTTGATTGAAGTCTATGAGTGAAGGTTTTTATGTGATAAATAAGCTAACCATTCCCACTGATGTCGTAATGCATTTAGTAATCATTCATATCTTTCATTCACTACACTGAGTTTCTCTTTATGTATATTTTTATTTCACATTTTGTGACATACTACTAATAACAGTATTCAAAGAATATTTAAGTAGTTGTTTATTCTTATTGCCTGATGAGGAATAATTATTCTTATGTTGTATAGTCTTTAATATTCATTAAAGTTTGTAACATACTCAGGAAGCTTAGAATTCCCACTGTTGTCGTATTGCATTTAGAATTGGTTTCACGCAATTAAACTAATCCACAGTCGAATTGTTTTACATATGAAACACTGTTCGCCTAGTACAAATCACCTGACGCATTTTATCATAACACGAATATGCAGAAATTAGATATTACCTTTGGTAATAAAGATTATGTGAGGAATCGTCACTAGTTAGAGAGAGAGAGAGAGACAGTGGAAGGCAATCAGTAAGGGTCGACACATTCATCATTCAACTTCAGGGTTATCGACTTCATGGATTTTCGTTTTGATGAAGTGTTCCATACTAGGGCGAACCATCTGTCCTGTTCTTACTTCATCATTCATAATTGCCTCAATTGATCCGTTTTACTCTTTTGATATCGTCTTTGTTGATAATGGAAATTCGTTTCTAAAGTTATTCACTCTCAAATATGAATTGACTTTCAACAATGCTTTTGTACAATTTAGAGTCTTTCAAACCATGGGGTGAGTTAGTAATGTTGTGTCACTTTATATTTTACAGTACTTTTGTTGTTGATTTGTGTTCTGGCTGTAACGGATTTCCATAGGCTTTTGAGTTTTGATGTTTCCGTGGTAGTGTTTTTCTCCGTATTCACGTGTTGAGGTTGGTAGCCTGACTTACGCCAAACCATTCCTCTTCGCTCTCAGGGTTTACCACACAAGCCAGTTAGTTATAAGTATAAAACGTGGGCTTTGTGGTAGAGTATAACTCCATTATGGATAAGATTTCATTTTGATAAATCACACAGTGTTGTACAGAAATAATAACTTATGACGGTTCCAGCACAAACTATTGCTCATTATCATATCAACTTGATATGTGCTTGAAACGTCATCATTTAATATTACTGTACAACACTGTGTGATTTATCAAAATAAAATCTTATCCATAATGAAGTCAGTTAGTAAACTAGACAAGGTTGACGAGTCCATCTGTGGCAGGGCATAGAACGCCGACTTGTCTTGTGGTTAGAAAATACTCTAGCCCTGAACCACTGAAGCTCTATTATACACATCACAGACTGTTTTCTGTTACTTCCGGTCCACTAAGTGTATGCATAGGGACATGTGAAAACAAATATTCTAGCTTAAACATAAGACTGTTGAATCCAATTGCATGCATTCCAACTGTCTACTGAAGTGAGGTAAGGCAAGAGTTCCTTAGTGCTTACCATTTTTGAATGGACATCTGACTGTGACCATTCAGTGGGAGAGGAATCTGTTGATAGAAGCTTTCGCAGGAGTCTGTCGAAAACATTCTCGCTGATATGGGAGCCGAATTTCATTATCGAATGAAAACGAACATGTGTGACTGTGCGCACATGTCTGAAGTGAATTGATTCACAGATGGACGAGAGATTTGATATCGACTTCTAATTCATTCTAATCGCATTGGAGAATGAGGCAAAACTACCGATGAGCAGAGAGAGTCATTTAGCATAGGCTCGGCCAGGCTAGGCTACCTTCCTTCAATGTCTATTCACATGTGACTCTGAGAATATTAACAATCATCTCAACTGAAATACACATTCACTCCTTACAATACTTGATTTCTTTTATTTCCTCATTCCTTCACAGAATTTTAATTCTGAGTGCGTTGGTCATACTCCAATGTGTAATTATCTCTACTGAAGCTGATAAGACCTTGTTACTGCATGTACGTTGGCTGCCAACTCACTGTTACCACCAAGAGGTATGTGAGATTATTTGACCGAAATTACTTTTAAATCGTTTCACACTTTCAAATTTGATTGAAAATTTCATATTTCAATTGATAAACCTGTGCATTGCAGGTGAAGATTAGAAATGGCTCCACCTACCCAACTTCTTTTGAATCCGGTCACCCAGACAAGGTGGGATACCAGCCAAACTAATAGATCCAGACGGATTACTCCAGTCCTGTTGTGTTTCAAACTTCCTGCCTAAACGATACAATCTCAATCTCATATTAGGACAAAGCCCGGCCATTGTGGTAGAGTATAATTCCACTATGCAGACAATTTACTGGATGATGTCTCACAGTGTTCTATAGTAATATTTACTGATGGAGTTTTGAGCAGAATGTATTTCTTATAGTCGTGTCAGTTGCTCATATCACAATTTCAGTTTAGAATTACCATGTATGTGTAGCCAGGTTAATTGGAATATATGGGAAATTCGGTTTTTGACGTAACTGAAGACGGATTATGTTTTGTTGCTGATGATATTTACTTGTATAGAAGTAGTTTCAAGTGTGGAGACAGAAATTATCATATCATGATGATTTTTCCCCTGAAATTCCGGTAGAAGGTAGAGCTTCAGTAGTAGGCCAAGATTTCGCCCTCTTACTTGCTGCCTCTCCAGGTGTGCTCCATGGCTATCCACAAACTCTCGTTTCCTCCTGACACGATCTGCTGTATGTGACTTTCGTTGCTATGTCCAATCGATGTTTCTCACAGTGGTTCCATTCGATCACACAACGTGTAATTCACTGCTATCACTCCAGTGTGTTCATTTCGACCACCTCCACACTTGTCAAGTAGATACTCAAGCATCTCACTTCTCATCGAATCATTATCATCACCCTTCCCCGTTGTGCCATTGACTTCAACGTATTTTCGTATCTATGGTAACCACTACTGAGTTACTGTATTAAAATTTGTAATGCCCTGTTTAATACTGAGTGATAGACTACTGAACCGGAACTTAGTTAATGTAGACATGATCGTACACACCGACTTCGAAGATGACTTCGTCGATGGAGAAAGCTGTTTCTTGGTTCAATTGTCTCATACCTTGTTTTTCCCTTCTAGTGCCAAGTGGAAGATGGTCAGAAATGGGATATTTCGAAACTCAGGTAATCATCAAATTATTCAATATGATGATACTATTGTCAATTTTGTCTATTCACTTTTTGTTCAATCAATCCACCGACCAATTGACTGATTATTGTTCTCATGGTGACTGAGTATTCACGATTGATAATGTGATATGCTGATCATATCCAAATAGAGTACATGTTCTCTAGGATTCATTTTCCTGGACTTGTCTGTTTTTCTGAAAGGGTAATGAATGCAGTCAGAGACATAGAAAGTCAGCTCTCAAGTGAAGAGTTTTCGCACAGAACATGATTTGTGACGGACTAAGACCAATATCAGCTGATTGGTCATGATGACAGGGGAAATGGAAATCTACCGATGAATCAGAAGACGAGTAAGCTGCCTACAGATGAATGAGCTGGCAATCTGATGTAGGCTACTCACGAGAAGTTTGAATAATGAATTTCAGTGTTCCGGTATCAGGGCTAATCAGCTGATTATGGTCTTTATCCACTTTCTCAAAATCAACCGACAGTCGTCATACGACAATCGCAGAAATAGACAAGAGTGAGTACTAGTGATTGATAAGCTTGGTCATCATGTCTTTCTGTCACGATAAACAGGTCGTGCTGAGTCAGCTGGTCAAAGGTGTTATTCATGAACAGATTTGCCACTATTCTCACTACTCACTTTGATTTCCACAGAAGAAGAACCTCGAAATTTGTGCTTTGATGTGGGCTCGTTCGATTCTGTGTTTAGGGTCATTTTGACGGCCGTTCGCATCTTGGGCATATTTAAACCTGAACCCCTTAATGGACCACAGTAATAAGGACATGATGATAGTAATACTACTCCTACTTACAATAATCCTGGTCTTATTCTGGACACAACATTTACACAATACACCGAATTCTCAGCATGATTTACTGCATAATATTTTCTCTCCATCATGAGTCTACACGCACCACAGCAGGCAAAGGTATACCCTTCGATCTGAAGCATGATCCGATCCCTTGTGATATGTCTCCTACATTCTCGAGAAGAGAGCATCACTAGTATGAAAGTCAACGAAAATTATGCCTGATTACACTCCGTGACCGAAATGCATCATCGAATGATTGACACCATGAGAAATAGAGAAAGTGTCAGTCGCTGTAGAGGATGGAAATTCACACATGTGTCTCTCGTTGGCTTAAATACTCACGTTTCAACCAATTATTGTCGACTCCGAATCTCGCCACACCTAATTCAACTAGATAGTGTCATTAGTCTCCTTCACGCAAGTAAGTATCATTTATATCCCAGTAAATGAGAAACCTCTTCTTGGTGATTGAAATCTAACTACTTCCATTTCGACAAATGTTTAAGTCCTTTGCAGCTGTTTGAGAAAACTACAAAACTTCATCTTCCTTTCAGATCGTTGCCTCAATTGGAGTGGCTCAGTGACAGCTGTCCAAATTCGCCCTTTGGATTTTGGAATTATGACTTCGTGAGTTAAATTTTTTCTAATTGGCTAATATTATTCAGGCGACATTTGTAAAAGTGAACGCAGGTAGTTACAGATTCTGTTGAAATGTAGACGGAATTTATATATTTATTTAGTGTGGGTTCGCAGAAATTTCATTGGTCATGGCTTTGATGACGAGTTAGAGAATCATTAGAAGATAACCAGGGAGTATTAGATAGGTGTTTCGTCCTAGTTTGGTGCCGCCTCCCAGGCAGTATGCACACACTGACTGACCAAGGTTCCCATTGACGTCCTGGGACGAAACTACCCTCCAATACTCCATGGTTTTCCGAATGTTCTCCAACTGGTGACAGCCAGTGATCAAACCTGAAATTTGAATGCATTAGAAATCAATATGTCGCCAGGAACTGTTCACTCTCTACAACCGTCGGTGAACTTGATTGCAGTAAAGATCCACATATTCCTTAAGCTTGAAGAAGGCATCAGAAACATTGTACAACGTAGATTGAGTCACTCGGGAATAAGTACTCAATTTGTATGCATATTAATTCGGTCCGCTTTCGCTTCGATCTACCCTTATTTGAAATCTAATGAGAAATGTGCACCTACGAATTCACGAGGGATAGATACAATTGTCTTCGTTTCAAGAGGCCATCCTATCGAACTTTCAACTTCTGGGCATGTGATAGATAAAGCCCTGTCGGTTCGCGATATGGTGTCACTGTAGTTGGTGATTATCTGCCATCATACCCGACTGAGCGGATCCCCAACTTCGGTTGAGACGCAACTGACACCGAAGTCAATTAAATCTCTTCAATATTACACCTTAAATTTCCAAACATCCCATTCCATTCAGTGTGAGCAGCTCAGTAGTAACGCCGCTGACTGAAACCCTGAATGAGCACGACTCGAATTTCCGGAGATACTTCAGTGGAATTCTTTCTAGCCTGTAGATACTCCCCATGAAACAGTGTCGATAGGAATACAATTTAAATACGCAGCTTCACTTCAATTTGCTTTCATCCATCTCACTCGCCTTATATGTTTGTAACCTCAGCTTGTGAGTGATAGAATCTCTTTAACATGGAGGAATGGATGAGATGAGGCTGTTCACCACCACTCATGATCTCCCTAATTGTAGGTGATAGACCGTGGGAGACTGATCTACATGCAGTTGAAACAGCAGTGATGAAAATATCTAACCAACAATACCAATTGCCTATCACCATCGATGGGGAGTATCTAAGGGAAGTCACCACATTCACATACCACAGTAGCAGTGTCGATTCAGCTACAATCAGAACGGTTCATAATGTGAAGGCCAGGATAGGCGAAGTGATGCAAACTTTGATTCCTGTAAAAGCCTGCTGCACTCATCGTCAAGAATATGATCCAGAAAACAATCCGAATATATTCTCATTCGCCTGTACACGAGGGTGACAGATTACAAGCTTCATCCATATGTGAGGAGGAGATCGTGTGAAGAGGAAATGAAACCCTGTGAGTAATCTCGGAGTCATATGGAATAGACTGCAGGACACAATGTGAAGTGTAGCACTTGGTTTCTGAAAGCGTGTGTTTTCTCCGAAACCTGAGAAAATTAAACTACTAGTTATAATAATTGTAATTATAATGCTTATATAATGTGTGAGCAAGTGTAGACAATTTATTGTATTGAATAGAATTTTTGATTTTCCCGTCGATTGATTGGACCGAAGTGCTTGGTCTCAGGTTGACATGTAGGCTTCTTGTGCAGATGCTTCAACGATGTCCGGGCATTTAGTTAGTATACAATAGGTGGATGGTGGCTAGCAGTGGAATCCAGGATGCGCATTTCGTATGGGTACTGGGTTCGAGCCTCGGTGGGAACATCATCACTCACTGAGAAATGCAGGTACATCCAGCTGACGAGTCCCAAATAGGACGAAATGCGTATCCTGGATTCCACTGCTAGCCACCATCCACCAATTGTATACTAATTTATAGTATTATTAAATTATTCTTATTTCATCGGAAATTTTATTCCCCAACTTTATTTAGGACACTATAACTGAATTGTCGAAATATTGGAGCAATCCTTTGGATGAATTCATGCATCAGTAAGTCTGTTAAACAATGTCCAACTGAAATATTTTATTTTCACTCCGTAAACCACTCATAGACGAAATTCGTATACATTTGTGGCAGAAATATTACAACTGATGAAGTCATTGCACAAGAGGTAGCTATCATGCATAATTAGTCTAATGAGCAAGGCTTCGTTGTCACAGCCAATGCATGACAGGTTCAGATGTCAATCTGAGTAGAATTATTCATTTGGATATACAAGCATATCACAGTTATGAGTTCGGAATAGGACGAAACCTCCACACTGAATAATACTATCAACCAGTATTAAACGAGTTACCATTATTGTTGTTTTATTATTATTATTATCATTTCGAAATTGGCGTCTTCTCTTCATGTCATTTCCTTTTCCTTGTATTGCTTCCAGCGACCATCTGTATAGAGAATATGCAACATGTACCGTTGTCGATAGCGATGGACCATCTCCAAATCTTTATTTCAACCGTGGAATAGACCTCTTCAAACTCGCGTCACCTAGAACGTGAGTTGAATGAAAACAAGTTCGGTCTAATTCTATTTTCAATTACTGATATCCAATTGTGCATGAGGAGGCCTTTTCTAAACACAAATTATTCGATTGAGACATGTGTATATAATCAGGTGTCGCTCTGAAGAGATTTGATCGGTTACAACTTTGATGATGACTTGAGTTGATATCAGTTAGAAAAGAACTGCTAAGCCACCAGGGATCAGTGGAAAGTGGCTTCGTCTCAGTGATTGAGATTCACACTTTGCAAGTTCGCGACAAATACCCTCAATTTACAGAGTATGAGTGCACTTTCTTGTCTTTGTCTCAGTGCTTGGGACCGACTCTTTGACACCACGGACATAGCGTCAGTAGTTCGAAACAAGAGCTCTCCTGTTACGAATAAGGAATACACTATCTTGACTGTAACAGCGTGCATACGACTGCGCTGTCTATCACGCGAATCGGTAGAATTTAGAATTCACGGAATGACCATTGGATAGGGTCCTAGCAGATTAATGGCCTACGACCTCGCCAGAAGGTCCCGTGTTCCATTCGGGTTGGTGAGTGCGTACTGTGAAGAGTCAGTCTCCGACAGTGGAGCGAAACAGCTGTCCAGTACTCCCTCGTGGTCTACCAATGATTCCCTAACTGATGTCGACTGGTCACGAATCTGCCAAATGCGTGTACAAATTATTTTACACAAGGCTGAAGTATATCTGTCAATCGATAAGGAAAAGTATGTCTGAATTTCTGGCTAAATTACGCCCTGCAGTATTCACTTTGCAATCATACAGATATGAGATTGATATGTTTGAAGTAATCAGGTTATACTTAATTCATGAAGTCTTTTAAAGGGACAATCTTAGAACTTGAAAGACCGCACTTCTTAACCCACAGTATTCTAAACAGCGTCGACGTTTTATTAAGGTGAATGGTGAATGCTCATGACTGAAAGTAGCCGGCATATCGCTGAGTCATTCAGAAGACTGGATAATGAGTCAACAAGTGTTTAGATGTATTCGTTACATTCTGTTTGAATAACGTAAAAACGTGTTGTCTTCCATCAGTCATATTTAACAGGCAATCCACAGATAACGCACAGACTAGTGACCATGTGAATTGTGACACTCTCAGCCGAATAGTTTAAAGAAAGTGCATACAAACATACTAAATGGATTAAAAGAACTCCAGGAAACGAGAACCAATCTGAACATGAATTCAAGGCATTCAAGTGTGATTTAAACAAATATATTTATCTGTGATTTAGCTTAACATACTTGTTATGTGATAATCAACTTTATAGCATCCAATAATTATACTTCGATTGCATCAATGAAAACATTCATCCTTAACTAAACTAACCAGGCACTGTTTTATTTCCTCTTTATTCAAACAAAATGAATGACAGAATATCGATCAGAGAAGGTGAAACTTACTCAGTAAGATAATTTTAATTTTTTGCAATGAATTTCAAGTATAAAATATGTGTGACATGAAAAGAGTCGAATCAGATGCAGTTGTCTGCTGACAACAGTGAATGAATGACTTGATGGCGTAAACGTCATATCCATAGTCGACAAGATGATTTGTCATTCACCTATTAGGCACTTTGACTTCATCTATTTTCAACCAATCTGGTAAATGTTTCATCATGCGAGTAGAAAATCGCCTTTCCCCAAGACCGATGTATTTGCTTCCACAGTCACACTGAAAATGATATATGCAGCTTGATGTGTCGGTGACTGACAGCTGGCCTTCCTCGAATTGTTGAACAATCCACCATGTGGTGTTAGGGAGGAAGAGTTCTGCAGCATACTATGTTCTCCTGATGGCTAAATTAAGTCTTCGTTTGACTACCTCTTGCACACTATCTCCCCTACATGGCTAATTGATTTATTTAGATTTCTGCGAAACAGATCGACTGGATAGCTTCACTTATGCGTGTTTTGTTTCTTGAGAGTATTTACCTGTTAACCTGTCAGGATATCCATTCTTGGAGTGAACATCCTTCACAGTCTTCATTTAATCTTCAATTATACTGTCAGAACAGATTTGACCTACCGCCTGCCTGACTAGTTCTTTCCATATTTAATTACAACAAAACTTAAAATGGATATACTGCCTCATCTATGAAGACGTATGTCTTTCCATTTCGCCAACAATTCTTTTCAACACTAGAGAAACATCTGGGAATTTAATGGCTGTATGTTGGTCATGCTTTATTGGAAAGTCAATATTTGGATGGTATGATTTGATTTCTATCAATAAGTTCTCAATCTCTGACTTACCGTCACAGACAATAAAAATATCATCAACATGTTCCGCTTGTTGTTGTTTATACTGTCGCAAAGCACCGGCTATAAGGTCCGTCATGAATACAACAATAAAAAGGGATTCCAATTGCAGTACCATCAACTTCACGGAATACACGCCCATTGAATGTATACTAGATATTTTTAGAACAGCATTTGCATTCCAGTCGGTCAGTCAGTCAGTCAGTGATCGTCTTCCAAACTGATTCGTTCTATTCTGTTTACACTGTTGGACATTGATATCAACTAATTAGTTGATTAAGATGACTGGACAACACGAAGGAGGAGTACACTTCACTCCGACAATCTCATGTGTATATTTTGTGTACTAGAGTGTGTCTGTGTACTAGCGGTTGAAACCTTAACAGAATATCACGTACGACGTCCACGTACTTTCACGAGGATTTTCAATGAATTCTTAATTTCTCGACAGAGTACTAATGATTTTCTCTCTTAAATTATTTGATCTTTTGACCTAATTAGACCAGAGATTTCGAGCATTCGTTGAAGAACAAATATCATGCTCAACCTAAACTCATCTGTGCTGAGAATGATGTAAGTGATAATTGATTTTCTTTTGCAAAAATGCTTTTTTATGTCGTTATGGCAGTTGTCATTGCAAAGGCAACAAACTGATTGTGTCTATGTTGTAAGGAAAGATAATTCTTACACTGATTATGCTATGCATCAGAATTTGTTGTGAACTGTCTGATTCTAATAGAGGATGTGAGTTAGAAATAAAATCATGAGTCGATATCTCAGAGTGGATACTCCGAAAAGGCACGTAACACAATTCGAAGATATTTCCCTAATCAGCGCTGTTGTGTTATCTGGAAAATGATTATGAGATCACAGATGGTTCTAGAAACACAAGTCAGTCGAATATCAAAACTTCCTTATGAGTAGGGTTTATTCGTAATTTTGTCTTTGTTTGCTGTTTGCCTCTAGAGTGGAAGATCACTGCTGTACTGTGTTCACTGCTGTCACTTTCAAGTAGCCCAACAACTGCGCCACAACAGACAGACCTGCCATTTTTTACCACAGGGTGTCATGCCGAAACCATCATCACTTCCACCACTGTATATTCGTTAGGTAATCGGTTAGTAGATCCTTCTCTGACAGACTTCGTGTTTGACTGCGTGAACGGTCCAGTTGGAGAATCGGACTTCAGTAAGGAGCCAATGAAGAGGAAAGTTGTAGATGAAAGTGTTCGGCGTAATAATTCCTGTTATTGCTGTCCACAGTAGATCTAGAGTATGCGATGTCATTTTATCACCATTGTATTCCAATATCCTGGAAACGATAACAGACTGTGAATGAAAGTGATGGATGATGTTTGCTGTTGTATGTCAGTAGAATTCCACATCACAACTGCTACTTATATAAACAAATTGACCGTTTATATGGAATCATTTAATTAGGAGACTTCAATTCTCATTTTCTTTTGTTCTCCTTCTCTGTTTGTCCTAGTATAATAAAACTTTCCTCCACGAAATAGTCTTCTGTTTCAATGAGCATTCAACACTTGTCGACTGTCCCGCCGAATATGCAAATGATCTCCAAGAGTATGTACAAAGCATATTTGACCACTCTGAAAGTGAATATAGCGAACAGATTCATCAACAGAAACTTTGCGGAGATTCATTCATTGTACCAGAATATAAAATGGCTGAAACACCCATAGAAGAACCTGAAGTTGATTATTCAGAAGATACTTCATCCTCTTCATCATCATCATCAAACATATTTTCAGGTTTCTGGAATTGGTTTTGGGGTGTGTAAGACAATCAATCGACTGTGTGAAGGAATGCAGACAAAATATGCACAGACGATTTTGCTTTCAGTAGATTTAGTGATCTCCGCTATTATCAGCACAAAACTTGTCGTGTGAATTCTCCTTTTTAAATTAATATTTATTTTTCAAGTCATAAAAGTTGTTAATTTAATGACAGTATTTGTTTTGCTTTGTCTGAATTATGATGCGTAAAGTTTGGTATTACAGTAGACAAAATATTATTATCTTTGACAATTTCAATGAACTTCTACATGGGGATTTCGAAATACGTTGACCTTGAGATGCATAAAATATTCTCTGTGTAAGGTGGATGATTTTGAAATATGACAGGTTACTGAAACAAAATGCTGACTGTCTAGCAGGTCACTGTTCCAATAACATCCAGTTTCTCGAGAACGGATAGACAAACATCATGTTCAAAATGAATTTTGTGAATAGCATAATTTAAATTACCAAGTATGGAAGAATCCATCGCTCTGTCTCTCTCATCTGTGTACGGTGATGCAATTAGTGTAAGTGAAAGGGATATATCCAAGCTAATTTACCGGATTGATAACACAAGAGCGAACTTTTGTGGAAGTGTGATAAGATTTTTGAGCTATAATTGAAGTGAAATCGACAGAACTTGCAACATTATTGATAAGGAGTGGTTTCCGACATCATACTGGAGTTCATTACATGCGAATTCAAATGTAAGAAACTGTTATCGGTTAGTTAACCATGAAAGACTCTAGGAAGTAAAATAGTTAGGCTTCTTGAACGACTTCCAGATCGTTTTCAGTCGGTCTTGTCTACAAAGACCACTTACGATTGATGTTTAGCCATCTATTCTGCCATACCTCATTTAGGTCCAATCTACGGCCTTAATTTATAGCTTGGACCACCCGATCTGATGGCCAAGGTTGTGCTTACACCATCCGAACTAGTGAATGAGGAATATGAGCCTTGTGGCTGCTGGAGGGTGCATTTCTCAACGATGATTTGAACAGCGTACAGAGATACACGCTCACACCACAATGACACCACCCAGCTCTTACCTCTAGAAAATCAAGTAATCCACACAGATAAACAAATTGATCGTTGAAGTTTTTGATTGATTTGACGAAGTCCATTGTTCCCCTGCAGGACATTGTCCATATATGATGCATATGAGACTTTGTTCTACACGTATACATGTATGTATATACAAATACATAACTTCCACCGATCAGGTTGAATGAATGGCAATAGCAAATCGTGATTGTCTGTGGGCAACAAATGTTTTGTGGATACCCTCGAGGATATTGTCTTGCAGCTACAGTGAATTGAAACCGAGTATTTATTGTGTAGCTGTTGCTAATTCCCCAGAATTATTAGCCAAAACATTCATCACTGAATATTGCATGCTGACCGCCACTGTTGAAGTTTGTTTGTTTAGCTGAAGGCTTACGGTCAATCACCCAAGCCATTTGACACGCCGCTGTGTTACGTTCGTTCGTGAGCTATTCCCAGCTAATTAACCAGTCATGTCACACTTCAGTTAAGTCCTAAAATATAATTCATAATTCGGCCGATACATTCTGCTGTTTCGCTTTATCTTTGATCTATGCGGAAAGAATACTATGGAAGTTGTGAGCATCAGATCCTGCATTAGTATACTTCATTCTATCCGTAAATCTCGACACCCACAGTCTCTTAAATTGTTCGACTTGGTAAATGTCGTAAATGAACGAAATATTCCCATATTGAGTCATAAGAAAAAGGCACAAACAGCGAAGAAAATTTTCTTTTCGATGTTTCATTCTCATGAGCTGCTGTACAATCGTAATTATAATTAACACAGAAATCTTCAATCCAATCAGATACTGGTAAACGTTGTCCTTGAAAATTGTACTACATAATGTAAGGTGTGAGAAGGGATGACTAATTGTAAGTTAGAAAGAAGATAGAAGTTGGCATGTCTTAACAAGTGTGAGATGATGACTAATCAATAAGCTCGTGTAGAATGGACAGGAACTAGTGGAAAGGCTCTAAAGTGTCCTTGTATAAAATCTGTATGAAAGAGCAATGTTAATAATAAACAATAATAGAGTGGTGATAAAATATGGATGATGGGAATAATAATGATAATAAACGTATTAATAATACTAACAGTAAACTTACATATTAAAGGAAAGAAGCAAAATTATGGTGAGAACTTTACTCTGACCCTACCATGGCCAGAGTAAAGTTGTAAAGTCGCAAACTTTATAAGTTACATTACTGCATGTAATCGGTGAGGAAGTCATCGATGGCCACGGAGTGCCATGAAACCATCAGTGATTTGAACAAAGACTTATAGGTTATGAGGCGACTTCATTCAACATTCCGTCACCGGGACAAACCAGTATCTTTCTTACCAGTGACTGGCTGCATGATGAAGTTGCTAAAGTTCTGGCAGAGTCATGAATAGGGGTTGCGAATATTTAGTGTGTGAGAATAAATAATCGGTGACATTATTGTCTGATCGTGACGTTGTGCATCACAGATGAAAGAAACAAAATATGTATGAGCACTGGTTTATTTTACATGTGGTTGAATGGCAAATGAACTCATCTTGTAATCTAAAAGTTGTGAGCCTAATTCCAGGTGGGATCATGTTCACAAATTTTGAAGAGTACTGAACATTCAGAATGAAAAGTCTGCTCCAGTAATAAGCAGATTTTAAGTTTCTCTTAATTAAAGGTAATAATATGGATTTTGGTGAGCTACATTTTACTAGCACTTTCTTGACGAAATTAGCCCTCGTCATTCAAAAATTTAGTACTCTTCCGAACCTGTAGCTAGTGGCTAAATTCACAAATAGGAAGACGTTTTGATTAAAGACATGTGCTCTTGTTAACAGTATATTTAAGTGAAATATGAAGATTTAGACTATCGAGGGAAAAACGTTCCAGAACTTATCCAACGAATATTCCGATATAGTTAGGTCAATGATGTGCGTGTGTACAGCTCACCCGAGAAGCGCAAAATGTCGCTGGAGTCAGTCCGTATATCTGCACAACAACACAAAGCCTTGGAGCACTTTAAATTGCGCCAAACTTAAACTGGCACCCGACCTGATTTGAAATTAATCGGACGCTAGCTAACTGACGGTTTAAAATGAGGAAATAATTTCCCAAATTCCCAAAGCATATCAATGGACACATGGTCTGACTTGTGTGTAAAGAATAAAAGAATGATGCCAACTTTAACTAAGAATGTCATAGGAAAGAAATGTATTTCAATGGACTCTTCCTGACACTGTATAATGCAGATGCTCACCGTTGTTCCCTTTCATCCTCTGCAAATGTACATAGAAATGACTCCGACATATACGAATTCCTCATTTCTAGCCCATGTAATTTGTCGTATACTTTGCCTGTATCCGACGTCTTCTAATTCTAATTACAAATGACTATCACAGGAATTTTCGTCGATGGATTCCTTTGACGAGCTTCGTTTCCCTAGAGTACATCCGGAATTTCTTTTATCATCGGGAGATCTCAGAGGTATCATCTAATTATTAATCTCCTTTCGTGTCGATTAACTGTCCTATAACCACCGAACAACGTCTAACTGACGTGGGATGGGTGTACTACTGACATCTATTTGTGGGCATCTTTGATGTCACTGGATAGTGACATGCAGCCACAGTTCTTCATTCACACTGTCTGCTTCTCAAGTTCCCCACAAAAATGCATTTCCTCATAGACTTTCACTTTCAGTTTGAAGGTGAACATGGTGAATAGGCCTTAGGAATACGAAAGTGTAGATACTGGCACCCACGGGAATCCACCACGTTCTAATATGTACTCTGACTTTGAATCACTACAAACATATTCTTTGAAATGTTACGCAATTTAGCTAATAGTCTGACAAGGGATGAGAAAGTTTAATTAAGAAAGTTAAGCAAGAGAGACAGAGAGAGACAGTATCACCGAGAAACTACCCAGTAGGTTTCATATCGAGGTCTAATAAAAATTCAGAGGAATACTGGGGTTTTGATTCAGTCATGAAAATATTTATAACACTGAATTTAAAGCCTTGTTGGGGACAACAGACACCTCTGACGCCATTTGGAATTCGGATATTCCGACTTTAACGATAACTTTGCTCCTCTCTAGTGACTGTAAATTAAAACGTTGTGTGGGGAAAATGGGTTTTGAAGGGACGACAGTACATTTCCTGCATTATCACTAACTGTGTCTTGATGCTATCTTTAACTAAATATATTCTTGAAAAAGCGCAATTACAGAACTCCGTCTTCATTACTTCGTGTGATATTAAGTGCAGCTTGATAACCATGTGCTGATTGGCCTTTCTATATGACCGAATCTCAGATATGGCCAGGTAGGTGGCTCAACAGCAAACATGAGGGTTGTTTCTAGTTGTGACCGACTGTTACATGAGATCAAAGTCATTCAGTCATCCTAGATGACTTTCACCCAAAAGCCCTATTATTGCCAACATAGGCGACATCTTTTGAGTCAGCTGCATAGTTTTTGTGTGTGTAATGTTTGAAAAGCTTGTTGTGCATCATCCAATGTCAGAGTCTTTAATTTTACTTGTATTATATGAACCGGCGTAGACGTTACTTTGCTCATTTCAATTGTGCTCTCTTTACGCACATTCCTTGAGTTTGCACTGAAGTCATACCGGTTAGATAAGTTCTAGATCTTCCCCTGGGATAATCTTTACCAACTGTTTTGCTCAAGTGTACAGAAGACTTGAGCACTTTTCCTTGATAAGCAATTCTGTTTTATTGGCGTTTTGTCTTTAGTATTTACACGCGAGGCAGATTACTGAATCAGTGAGTTCATAGTTAAAGTGCGTTAATTAGCGGCTGGTAAATTGTAGCTTACCAGTTGTACAACGTGCTTATCACAATCTTTTTCGGCTGATAACATATTCTCAGTTTATGTACATCAGAGACGCTAGTTTACATCCACCACGAATATGATAATCATGTATGCATGGTGTCAATGTAGTTGAAGACTGAACGATCAATTCATGGTTGTTTGCTAAAACCCAACTTCCCCATACTTTCGCGGAGTCATGTATCCACCAGTCATCGTCTCATTGGTCGCTGTTCAGAAGGAAGATCAAAAAAACTGTCAGAAGTAATATCGTGATTTATTGTTGTAATATTTGTTCTTAGACCTTACTCTGTAATATCAGTATTGCTTGTTATATGTTGGCGTTAGAATAAAGAATTCTTGAGTCGCCAAACAG